TCCGCGACCTATATATATCCCTAGAGGTCTCAATGTTGATATTTGAACTTTGGTATATCGAATATTTGCATGTATTCGACAGGAAAAAAAAATAATATTCATGGCTAGAATGAATGAATGAATGTGAACCAACGAAACAAAAAAAAATTAGGCCAATCAGCCACATCTCAATTTAAGGTAATATTTCGATGGCATGCCAAAATGCGATAAACGAAATGGAAAAAACAAAAAAAAACGATTCCGAAATTGCCAAAAAAAAAAACACACACACAAGGTCCAGATTTTTTTCTCTCTCATTAACGTCCGTTGTTGTTATGTGAACCGTTTTTTTTCCTTTTTGATGAATTTATTTGCCTTCCAGCCAATTTATGTATATATCATTGTCTATGAATTCATTCATTCACTCATTTAATCGTTCTATTTCTTTTTTTACCTTTGACCTGATATGCACGTGGTATGAATGTGTATGTATGTGTGTGTGTGTGTGTGTGTGTGCGGTCAATGATCATCAACATTTATACAACCGACAAATGGAATGGAATGAAATGAATGAATGAAACAAAAAAAATTTCAATCTTTTTTTTCACTAGAAAAAATCAAAACTGTTCTATTTGGTTGAATTGAAAAAGAAAAATTCCTGAATTGTTTTGGACCATCATCGTCATCATCATCAGATGATATCATTCATTCAATGGTGACGATGATAATGATGATGATGATGATAAATGTGCAAAAAAAAAAAAAGACGACGAATTTGGTTGTCAACAATTGTGTGTGTGTGTGTGTGATTTTTTTTTTTTTTTTGTTCTTTCTTTACACAAATTCAAAGATCATCATCATATAATGATATACAATACACACACACACACACAGAAATAGACAAATAATGAACACACACACACACAAAAAGGTCATCGACATTCGATTTTTCCTTTTCTTCATTTTTTTTTTTTCTTGGTAACAATTTTTTTTTGAACCAAAAATCAAAAATCAAAAATGAATCAAATGAGCCTATGACATTCGAATTTGGAATGAAAAAATTTTTTTTTTTTGGTTTTCATCATCATCATTGATATGGTTATGGTTTGTTTGGTTGTTGCTCTAGATATAATCAAATATAAATGAAATGTGACTATATAAAACCAAGTGATAATACAAGATATGAGATTCGTTTGACAGAAAAATCAATGAACCCTGTGTTTAACAACAACAACAACAACAACAACAAAAATACCGGAAATTTAAACTCAAATGACATCATCTTAAATTGACATCAAATCTTGAAATGAGAATAAACAAATCACACACACACAAATCTCTCTGGGTGTGGATTGATGAATTTCTTTTTCTCTCACTCTGAAATTTATTTCATTTAAAAAAACTAACAATTTACCTACCTGTTGCTTATTTTTTTTTTTTTTTCCTTCTCAATTCAAATCCTCATTTCATGAATGTTTTTCAAAGTCATTCTTTTGTTTGTTTGTTCACTTGTTGATTCACTTATGAACACATCCTCGAAACATTACAGCCGAAATTTTTTTTTTTCTTTAAATTGAAATGAAATGGTTGAATGATGAAAAAAAATTAGGTGAAGGACAACAACAACAACAACAACAACAACAACAATACACCACCAACAATGAACAAAAAACAAAAAACAAAAAAAAAAACATCAATAGAAAATGTGGACACTGATGATGGTGATGAATAATAAAATGAATGAATGGCTGGCTGGTTGGTTGGTTGGTTGGTTGGTTGAATGGACGGGTTAAAAAAAAAAAAAAGTTTGTCGATTGTGTGTGTGTGTGTGTGTGTGCGATTCATCTATTCAAGACGTCCTGTTTTTTTGCGTTCATTTAGTTTTGATTCAGAAAAAAAATTTTTTTTTTTCATTTGAAGACATCGACCATCATTTGTTGCTGTTTTTGTCGTCATATTTTATTTTTGGTACACCTTGTTTTTGTTTTGTTTTTTTTTTTTCGGCTGCTACCACCATCTTGTTGTTGTTTCAATTGTATGCTGTGTGTGTGTGTGTGTATACGTTGTTGTTGTTGTTGTTGTGTAAAATGAATGTGAATGTGAAAAAAAATAATAATAATAAAAGGAAACCAACCCGTTTGAAGGACAAATATACAGTGTTAAATCCATTCGTTCAAGTTTTATTTGTTTGTGTGTGTTTTTTTTTCATGTTATCACATGATACAAACATGAACAACAACAACAACAACAACAACGAAAACAATCAAAAATCTTCATGTTCATATGGTTAGATTTGGTTTTTTTTTTTTTTTGGTTTGTGGTCAATTCTGATCAATGGTCAGTTGAATATTCGAGGTTTTAATCGATTGCTGGTCATTTTGTTGGTTGATGATCACGATGATACCGGAAACAGAAAATTGAATAAAAAAAAAACAAAAACTGTTTTGATGATGATGATGTTGAGTTTAATGTTCCAAAATGACAAAAAAAAAATTTTTTTTTTTTTTGCCACTTTGTTTACTGTTGTGTTTGATATGCATAAATGCAACAAGTGTGAATGAACGTATAACATTATAGGAAACAAATGTAGAAATGAAAAAAAAATCTCACCGAATCAAATATAGAATAAAAATACACACACACACACACACACACACACACATGAACAGACGAATCAATCAATGGAAAAAACATCATCATCATCATCACCGTATTTACCACCCATTTATCATATTGGAAATATCATAACCAGCAAATTATCATCATCATGGTAACTATAAATGACTGATGATAATGGCTGATGAATAATTTACAGTTTTTTTCATCAAAAAAATTGATTGATTGATTGATTGATATTTGTTTGTGTATGATGATGATGATGTTCAAATTCAAGATTTGATTGTCAAATTGCTAAATGGATGTGGATATTTATTTCAAATTAAAATTGATGAAACAAAATAAAAAAAAATTTTGAAGAAGGAAATAAGAACATCGAACACACACACACACACACACATGAACACATGCATAAACAGAGAAACAAACAATCAAATGAACATGTTTCAATATATATATAAAAAAAAACATTGAATGGAAAACAATGGCTCATAATGATGATGATGATGGTGATCACTGTCGTTGTCATGTTGTTGTTGTTGTCGTCGTCGTTGTTGTTGTTGTTGTTATTTCCAAAGGTCATTCCATTTTCATTCATTTAATTCAATTCGATTTGGTTTGGTTTTTTTGGTGGTAAATTTTGTTGATTATGGCCATTCATCATCCATTCATCGTTTGTTGATTGTGTGTGTGTGTGTGTGTGTGTGTGTGTGTGTGTGTGAGTATTGATGATAATCGATTATCGATTCTATAAAGAAGAAGAAAAAAATGAATTTCATTACGATTGCAATTGCAATCGGATTATATATTGACAATCGATTTCGATAATCGAGATCGATAATACAACCCTCTACAACAACAACAACAATTGATATATGATAACAATGATAATGGTTTGGTAGCAATCCTTGGTAGATAAATCGATTTTTTTTCCCATTTTATCAATCCAAATATTTGTGTAATCGAAAAGAAAAAAAATCAACGAATTTTTATTGTATCAATAAATCAATCAATCAATCTATAAAAAAAAACTACCACTACATTTGAAAATCTGTCCATGATTAAATATATATATCGTTATTATCTAACACTTGTCCATAATTCTACTTCCATTTAGAATATTCATTGCAACCATAATGACAATGATGATGATGATGATGATGATGAACTTGGCCCAATTTCTATTCATGTTTCGCTCTGGTTGATTTTCTACATTACATTTCTCTCAACATTTGGCATCAGTCAAGTTTTTTTTTCTTTTTCTCTCTCTCTCTCTCTCTTTTTTTGTGTGTCATCAAAAAGGTCATCGTCATCATTTCATCGTTCATATGCAATAATAATAATAAACTAGACAATCAGTCAGTCAGTCAGTCAAACATCATCAGGTCACACACACATGAAATGGTGAGAAGAAAAAAAAAATTGATGTTTACCTGAAAATTTTTTTGGGGGAGAAGGAAATGAATGAATTAATGGTGGTGGTGATGATGTGCCCCTTTTTTTGTTGTCTAAAATTATTCTCAACGTACTTGATGGTGACTGGTGCAATAGATTGTATAACCCCTGTCCTAATAGATCAACATGTGTGTGTGTTTCGATGTGCGAAAAGGAGAGAAACGAATTTAATCACACACACACACACTCGCACACACACACATTTCGGTTACTGACTTAAAGACCGAGTTTTATATTTTTGTTTTTTTTCTTTTTGTTACCGTCATTTTTTTTGGTAGGTCGACTTTGGTTTGTTGTCGAGTCGGTCGGTCGGTCGGTCAATCACTATTCTCTTTTTTTTTCATTCATTCATTCATTTATTATTCTTCAAGGTTGTTGTTGTTGTTGTTACCCGTTTGAAATGTATTATGGGTTAAATGGAAAAAAATGATAATAACCAAACGACAACGATACGGTTATTATTATTACCCAAAAACACACACACACACACACACTATCTTCCTAGTTCACACACACACACATTCATATATTTTTCACATATAAGGAAACGCGGTTATCGTTTGTTGATTATGGTATGAGCACCAAAAAAAAAATTTTTTCTTCAATTAATTTCCTTGAAATTCATATAATGGATAATGATGATAATTAAACCAGAAACAAAACCAAAAACCAGTTTACTTAGATAAAGAGATCTGTATGTGTTCAGAGCTGGCTTGTTGTTCATGTGTCGGACACATGAGAATATCCGGTGGCTGTGTTTTGTTTGACCACCTGAAAATAAAATTTACACTACCATCTGATGTTGAAAAAAAAATGAAAACAAATTCTGATTCTGATTTTTATTTATTCAATTCAATTATATTTAATTTAATTTAATTTAATTCAATTTGATGATGATAATAAATCATTGAAAAATCCATCATTTTTCTTTTTTGAATTCACAGCTGTTGTTTTTTTGATTTTGTTTCTTCATCATTATTATTTGATCGAATTAAATCATATTGAAATAATTCAATTTGATTTTCCATTACACCAACAATACGATTGGTGATTTGATTAACATCGATACATTCAATTTGTTTTGTTTGATTTTCGACCACTGTTTCATGATGTTGATGTGGAAATAGACTGATTATTTCTATTGTACCATCCGATGTACCAAATACAATCATATTTTGTTCATCATCAATAATTTCCATACAATCAATGCTTGAATGTCCGGCATTATTCTGTCGTATTGGATAACGATCACTAATATTACCCCATTCATTATTATTATTGAATATATTGATGACACCATCTTCACATCCAACAATCACTTTATTCTTCTCCTCTAAATATCGTACAGTTTGAAAACCAGCATCAAACAATTCCGATTGTGGTGGTTCTAATCGTCGTGCACGAATATTGAATGCCGATAATGTTCCTTCACCAGATGTTGCAAATACAAGCTGTTTATTTGAATCGATATCCAAATCGCTTATATAATTATCACATTCATTCAATGACATATGTATTGGACGTTCCATACGATAATCCCAGCATTTAAAATCACCATCATCATCACCAATGCAGACAAGATAATCATCGGCAACCAATAATGAATAGATTTTCTTTTTTCCATTAGATATTTTTCGAATCATTTTTTGTGTCTGAACATCAGTGATTTTGATTGATTTCGATATGGAAAACATTCGATTTTGATGAAAACGTATCTTACGGATTGGATTACCACGATGATATTTCTGCCATTCATGTACGATTGTTGGTTTTTTCGAATCATCACCACCACCACCACCACCATCATCATCATCGATATTGAAATTTATTCTATTTTAAATCAAAAAAAAAGAAAAATTAAATAGACCTTGTTCACGACAACAAAATAAATACACACACATACATTTTAATATCACCTTCAATGGTGGAAAATCCAATCCAATCATGATGATCGGGATGAAATTGACAATCATAAATCAAATCCGTTCCATTCAATCGATATTCCAATAATTTTTTCGTTTCAATCGTTGTCATTATGCAAATGGTGATTGATGATAAATAAATCAACTTTTATTTATTCAATTCGAAAAAAAACAAAAAGAAAAATTAAAAATACAAAACACGTGATAAATTTTCAAAATAGACAAATTATTATTATTATCAACAACATGATGATGATCATAAAAAATTCGTCTAAATTCGAATGAAATGATGAAAAAAAAACATGTGACAATCAAAATGACCATCAGAGCCATCTAGTGATGTCTGGGCAAAAAAAAACTTCCAATTTATAATTTTTGGCTTTTTTCTTTTTTTAAAAAATTATGATGATGATGATGATGATGATCACGATGAAGATGATAATGAGTATGACTGGAAACAAATGATGATGATGATGATGATGATGATGAGTAGGAAAAGTAATGATTTCAATAGGTTTAGGTTTCAAATTTCAAATCTTCATTTTCATTTGATACACAAATTGATTCAACAAAACTATCGATTTGTGTTGCCGCCGATTCTAGTTCGGCTAATTGCATGCTCAATTCATCCATATCGTTGATTGAATCACAATCATTTGATCGATGTAAAAATGTTGGCGATGGACCATGAAAAAATGAATGTAAAAGACTTTCTTCCGATGCAAATGGTGCATTCAATTCGACAAATACAAAACTATCGTTTGATGTTGAATAAATTTGTTGTGATGTAGGTGATTTTATTGATTGTGATTGTGATTTCATCATTTTTGTTGACGGTATCTTTATCGGATTTGATGATGGTGATGATTTTGGTGTTGTCGTTGTCATAATATTTGTTGATGATTGTTGTTCATCATCACATGTTAGATTTTTCATTTCAATTTCTTTTGACATTGATAATAATGAACTGAATGGTATATTGAAATCGGTTTCAAAATTATTCGATTTTTTTGTTGCAAATGCTGGATTCAATGGTTTTATTATATCAAAAATATCCAATGGTTCATTGGTTAGATCGATTTTAAAATGGTCATCTTTCATTGATAATTGAATCATCATCATCATCATCATGTTGTTGTTGTTGTTTTGTTAATTGTTTATTTGCATCATCTTGAATAATATTATCATCATCATCATCATTATTCAAATGTTTGGCCATTTCATCTGATTGTTGTGTTAGATTTTCAATCTCAGATTCACTTGTTACATTCATATCGGTTCGATAAATAAATGATAATGATAATTCATTCAATTCACTACGTATAACACCGATTGTTTTCAATGGTGAATAATGACGATTTTGATCAGTTAATCGGTCAATAAAATCTGTATAATTTTTCAATACCAATGGATAAATACGATAACAAATGACATAAGAATCAGCACTTTGACCTTTTGAACTAAGACGATATGCAGGCGTCGAACGTGTCAATACTATTAATGATTTAATCATATTACTCATACGTATAAATATTTCATATACTTTCTGTGAATATTCATCCAAATGTTTTTGTTCAAAATCTTTTTCATTAATCAATGTATGATTGGCAAATATCCAATATTCTAATGTAATCGATATATTATCGGCATTTTTCAATAATATTTCACAACAAATTTTCCATTCTTTTTGTATGAAAAACATTTGTTGACCATTGGATAAATGTTTTAAACATTTTTGTGCATTATCATATACATCTTTCATATCGACAATATCCAGATTGAACCAATCTTTACCATTTGGATTACATTTAGTTTGTGTACGTTGATCATTACCAAGACGTGATTGAACAATTATTTGGGTACATTTATGAACAAATTGTGAGATGAATTTATCGATATCTTTAAGGGACATTTTTTTTTTTGTTTTAACAAATATAACCATGAAACAAAACAAATGATATATAACAATTATTGAATATTGGAAAAAAAAAAATTTTAAAAAATAAACATCCAGTAAAATTTTTGTTTTGTTTTGATTTTTATTTTGTTTTTTCTCTTTGCTGCAATGCAGCATATATATATAGTGGTGGTATGGTATAAAGAGAGAGAGAGAGAGAGAGAGGCAAAGAACAACATCATCACGAAAGACGTCATCATCGAATGGCTATATCGACTTGAATGAATTTATACGTTCGAAATGGCCATACAAAAATTCCATGCTTGCCGCAAAAAAAAAATTCCATAGAACGAGCAAAAAAACAAAATGATGGATCCAATTGATAAAAAAACAGCCAGTGGCGATAAAGATAACCGAATAATTCGTGAAGGTAAAGCTCAAATACATTGTCGAAAACAAGTGTTCTACAATCAAGTTCAAGAATTTAATCGTGATCTTAGGTAAGTGGTGTTTTTTCTTTTAAATATTTGTATATTTGAAAAATGTTTTTTTTTTTCTCGAAAAAAAAGTGTATTAGCCGCTCATACGTATTTGAAAAATGAACTTTGGAAATCGTCAACATCTTCGAAAATTTTTGTCAAAGATCGTGTTTGTATTTTGGATGCACTTTCAGCAAGCGGATTACGATCGATAAGATATTCACTTGAATGTAAACAATGTCCATTACCAATAGATATTATTGCCAATGATATTTCGGAAGAGGCAATCAATATAATTGAATCGAATATTGAATTGAATAATGCCTATAATGTTATAGTTACCAATGAAGATGCTAACATGTTGATGTATAAGAAAAAAGCATTAAACGAACGAATCACTATTATTGATCTTGATCCTTATGGTTGTCCAACAAAATTTCTTGATTCAGCCATACAGAATATTGTCGATGGTGGTTTATTGATGGTCACTTCTACCGATATGGCCGTACTATGTGGTAATCATGGTAATGCATGTTTCGCTAAATATGGTTCATATCCATTACGGGCAAAATTTTGTCATGAAATGGCATTACGTATTATTTGTGCATCGGTCAATTCAAATGCAGCACGTTATGGTCGACATGCTATTCCATTGCTTTCGTTAAGTGTAGATTTTTATTGCCGCATATTTTTCCGTGTATTCACATCAAAAAATGAAGCTCAACGTTCGATGACAAAAATGGCATACGTTTATCTATGTAAAGGTTGTGAATCATTTCAACTTCAACCACTATGTGAGATAAAAGATGGTAATGAAAAAAATCTTGTTCCAGCAACGGTTAAATGTGATAAAACCTGTGGCATATGTGGTCATTCTTATCGTATTGGTGGTCCAGATTTGGTCAGCATCGATTCATGATAAAGATTTTGTTCATAATCTTCAGAATGAATTGGAAGCTTTACGAGAATCTGATTCGAATCATTTCGGTACCTATCGTCGTATGGAAGGAATGTTACAATTAGTGGCTGAAGAACTTGATGATTGTCCACTTTATTATCATTTAGATCGTCTTTGTTCGATTGTTTGCTGTCAAGTATCTTCAATGAAATTATTTCGTTCAATATTGATTAATGGTGGTTATCGATTTTCATTGTCACATGCATACAAAAATTCAATGAAAACCGATGCACCAAACGAATTCATATGGGCAATGATACAACATTTGGTGAAAAAATCCAAAGAATCCACTAGCAACAATAGTAAACGTCAATCACATATACAGAATATTTTGGATAAAAATTTTGATTATAAAATCAATGATACATTAATCAAAGAAGAACCATTATCAAAATCAAAAAATCTATTACGATACCAGTGGAATCCAGAACAATATTGGGGACCAAAATCCAAACCAACAACCAAAAGAACAAACAATAATGATGAAATCTGTACAAATAAATCAATGAAAACTGTTTGAAAAAAAGAATTGAACAACAACAACAACAAATTCAAAAATTTTTTATTATTCTGAACGGAAGATCATTGTGTATGTCAACAAACATAATGATGATAATGATGAAGATGATTATCTGTTTGTTTAATATTGAATGTACGACGATAAATGATTGTATCAAATAATTTACGTAAAAATTTCAATGGCCATCTAGTTATAAATGATAATAATGATGAAAAGCTCTTCAAAAAAAGATTATCACATTGATAATATGTTTGTATTGTAAATGAACGTAATGAATTACGTATGATTAATAAATGATATTTTGGATGAATGGTAAACAATGGTAACCACCACCATGATGATGGATGGCCACCATTTAAATAATAAACATATGAATAACCATCATAAGCACAATCATTGATTGAATAATAAAGTGGTAATAATTTGTAACGTTGAAATTGTAATTTTTCATAAAAACGTATTGCATACATATTTGTCGTTAGAACATGTAGATAAATTGCTTTACAATTATTTTTCATTGTTGTTATTGATTGTAAATTTTGTATTAAATTTTTCACTAATAATGTTGCAATACCACGACGTCTTAGCCGTTTGATAACGCCCAATGTTAATATATATGCAACTTGTATATTATTATCTTGTTGATGTTCAAAATGTTTGGCCAAAAAACCAAAATCTTCATAATTTAAATTTTGATAACAACGTATTTCGGTGACCAATAATGCAACAATTTCATCATTAATAGTGGCAACAAGACTACAGAATCGTTGATTATGATTATTAACAATAGTTTCATACCATGCATCTGGATAACGTACTGGAAACCATTCTTGACAAAGCATTCGTATAGTATTCAGATCGGTGGGGTTCTTTAAATTGTTGGATTCACATTGATTTTTCCATTGTTGATATGATAACCGAAAAAAAGAGAGAGAAAAAATCAAAATTTTTCTGTAAATTATAAATAGAAATTTCACACACACACATACCAAATATCGCATTCGAATCGTATCATCGGATGATGGTGCCATTGTCATGAAATTTTCCGACATGTTTATTATCATTATGATGGTGATGGTGATGATAAAAAAAAAAAAAAATTGAAATGAAATCAATCAAAACCCGTAAAAAAATTTAGTTGACTGTTGAAAATCACATTTGGACATCATGTATGTGTGAATGTCAAAATACTCAATAATTTTGTTTTGTTTTGTTTCTATATTGCATTCATCATCATCATCATTATCATCATTTTTCTACAAATACCACAAGATGATAAAAGAATATCCTCCATGTTATTGCCATAACGACAACCAACAACCATTGATGATGATGATGATGATAAAAAGGCAACGGATATGAAAAAAAACCAGCTGTTTTTTTTCACAAAAATTTCATTATAATTTTTGAAATAAAAGTATCAATAATGGATGATCAAAGTTTTTCAAATGAATTTCAAAAATGTTGTCGTTGTTGTTGTTGATTTTTTTTTCGCATTATCATCATCGAACAACAATAATAAAGAATTTGGATGGATGGATTTAACAAAAATAAAAGGAATATATATAAGAGAGTGGAATTGAATTGAAGAAGGTGGTGGTTGGTGGTGGTGGGAGTGAATGATGAGAGATATAAGTAAAGAAAATAATTTATTCGAAAATAAATATATTGTGTATGTATATGCATTTTCTACGCATGCGTAATTTATTTGTTTTTTTTTTTTTTTCTTTCTTTCTCTCGTTCGATATCATCATCATCATCATCATGAGGATCCATTTGATGATGCAGCTGAATTATTACTCTCGAAATAGCTGCATGTTTAGTGTATTCTCTCTTTTCTTACTTTCTCTTTTGGCTTTCTCTCCCTTTTTTTTTTTTTTTTGTTTTGTTTTGTTTTGTTTTGTATACGCCGCACACACATTGTGGATTAAGAAAAAAAAAGATTAGGATTTTTGTTGTTGTTGTTGTTGTTGTTATTGATTCTATAGAAAACAAAACAAAACAAAACAAAAAATTCTATGCTAATCTTTCTGGAACATTCAAATTCTGATTCTGATTTCTACAATAATAAACACAAATAGATGGTGATGATTATGATGAAGAAAATGAGAATTATTTCGCCTTTCATGGTATTTTTGTATTTGACAAGTTTTTTTTGTTTATTGATGATTGATTTTATTGTTGTTTTATTGCAGTGAAATTTTTTTTTTTTTTGTTTTTCTTAAACGTGAACAAAAAAAAATTATTGAAATTTAAATATCTGAATCATTTTGGTTTCAAATAAATTTTATAATAAACATAATGATGTCGTCGTCGTCGTCATCGATAACGATATCGAAAACGGCGACAACAACAACAACAACGATGGGACAATCAACATCAACATCAACATCAACAACAACAACAACAACAACGACGACAACAACAACAACAACAAAATCTCCATCACCATCATCATCAACGACATCGACATCTACAATAACATCATCACCTCAACCATTGCAACAAACACAACCAGAATCATCATCATCATCATCATCATCAACAGCATCATCAATCAAAATAAATGTATTTGATTTTAATAAAAATGATTATCATAATATAACAATTTCAGCCATAATAATGAGAATGGTGACAGGTGAACAACAAGAACAAAATATCAATGATAATAATTTAATCTATGCTGAAGATTTAGTTTTCTATTTAACATCATCATTAAAAATAACGACAATCTGTTCACATCTGTTTGCATTATATAATGTTGAATCTGATTTATGGATAGCTCCAAATCAACAGCTACGTACAATGATTAATGAATTGTTTAATAATCAACAACAAAACGGTAATAATGATAATGGACCAATGTTACAATTTCAACTAAGAATCCGTTATACACATTCGAATCTAATCAACAAACTAAAGGTTGGTAATCTCGTTTTTTCTGTTTATTCAATGATTGATGTATTTCAATATATTTTTTAATCTTATTAATTGTACAGGATATCGATTTGGCAGCTTTTGATTATTATTTTCTACAAATCCGTTATGATTTTTTACATATACCGAAGAAAAAATTCAAAAAAGATGAACTAGAAGAAGTATTCGGTATTGCATTAATCGATCTGATTCGTGTTACAATTGAAGATGATGAAAAATTACGTAATGCATATGAACGTTGTGATTCATATATAAGTCAGATAAAAAAATATTGTCCAAAAAATATGGTAAAACCAAAATTATTATTCATTGATGATAAATTAAAACAAACATTTCGCCGTAATTGTCAAAAAGATACGAATAAAATTTGGGTAAAATGGTGCTACATAAAACAATTCCTATCACGTTCTCATTCTTTTTATAATCTATCGACAATGCAAATGGCCTATTCGTTTCATGAAATTTATGATATTATATTGGAATCATCGATAAATTTAACATCAATACCGACACAGCAAACAATATCCGAACATTTAGTGCATTATGATTGGAAAGAACAGAAAATTTGTTGGCGAAAATCATCATCATCATCCGATTATAATAATAGTAATAATACTAGTACTAGTACTAGTAATAAATTCAACAATAATCATGATGAATGGAAAACATGGTTTTCAATTGAAGAAATTTCCAGTATCAATATACTTTCATTGGATAGAAGAAAAATACTCATTTGTTTTGTTAATAGGCCAGCATTGACTGTCATATTTCGTCGATTAGGACAGATGAAATCATTCATTTCATTATTGTCTGGTTATCATCGTTTATCAATACATTGGAATCTAAATCTATCGGCTGAATATTTTTCACCAATGTTGAATAAATTAAGAAAAATTAATTGTTTTGGCCCAATACAAGATGAATTTGCTATCAAACGTTTGAAAAAGACACGTGATGGACAGAAAAATTCTGGCCTATTTTTATTGCGACAAAGTGAAACAGATTTCTATAAACTTAAACTTTGTTATGAACAACAAAATGAAATGAAATGTTTTGAACTAAAATGGCAACCATCACAATCATCAGATAATTCATTATTTGTATGGAAAGATGATTTCAATATTACCGATGTTCGTGTTGATTATTCAGAATTATTAATATGGTTACAGAAACAATTGAATCTATTTCAACCAATTCTTTCGGGTGAAAATGATCATTTACCAGATTTACTGTTATGTAGTCATGAAGATGATATAAACAAATTAAAATCTAATGATGACATTTTACCAATCATACAGAATGAACGTATAAAAAAATCAATATTAACAATGCATAACAATGGTGTATTCTGTACACGTATCGGTACCGTAAAATTGGTTGGTAATCAAGAGGAAAAAGTTTTCATTAAAGAATTTATCGATTCCAAAGAATCTGGTAGAGGTGAAAATATATTGAAAGAAATTGATGAATGGAGTAAATTGAAAAATGTTGCAATCATGAATTGTAAAGGTGTGGTGATGCATCCATTATCAATATTGTTTGAACATTGTCATATTACATTACGTGATTATTATTCATTGCAAGAATTTAAGCTCAATCATTTTAATTTAACTGAAGCAGCTTTCTGTTTGGCTAAAGCATTGGATTATCTTTATACGCATAATTTACGTCATGGTTATATAAAATTCGATAATCTATATGTTTCACATTTTTCAAAAACATCATTATTTATAAAATTGGGCGATCCAATTGGTTTTAGTTGTGATTTTAATCAAACAATTGAACAACCATGGTTACCGCCAGAATATTTTAATGATAATGGATTTTTCTATAAAAAACATACCAATTATAGTGATGTATGGGCATTCGGTACAACAATGTGGGAAATATTTCATAATGGTAATAAACCATTATTCAATTATATGAATATTGATCAAGTGAATCTATGTGCAATGCCTGAGCCGATACGTTTATTGACGAAAAAATGTTGGGATAAAGATTTCTGTAATCGTATACCGCCATCAGGTGTATTCCGTGAACTTGTATTAATACTATATGAGGCAAGAAAATATCGTAAACAATATATTCTATCAAACGATGGTATCAATGATGAAATGATACGTAAAATGAATATTGAAAAAATAATAATGAAATCATCATATCCAACGTATTCAATGAAGAATAATAATTCACTTGGCGGAAGTAGTACTGGAATAATAGATAATAATAGTATGATTAATAATAATGGCTATAGTCAACGGTCATCATTACCGATTAGTAATGGTTATCAACAACGTCCAATATCATTATATGATGATGATGATGATGATGAAGACGACGACGATGATGATGATGATGATGATGATATGGATGATGTTACAACGGAAACAACATTATATGATCAAATGGAAGATGCATTTCTTATATCGGAAAAAGATGATTATCTACATATACAAGCAATGGATAATTTGGAATGTATACCACAGGATAGAATTAATGTATTGAAAATGATTGGAGAGGTATGATTTGATGTGATTGATTGATTTTTTTTTTACTAATTATATGATAATTGAATTTATATATATAGGGTAATTATGGCAAAGTATATCAAGCACGTTGTGATGATAAATATGTTGCATTAAAAGTTGTATCCGATAATAAAATCTCAAGCCTAAGTGAAGAGATTAAAATATTAACAAAATTAAGACATCGTAATATTGTTGAAATTCGTGGCTATTCCAATGTTGATGTTGATCAATATTCCAAAGGTATGATATGGTCTAATGAATTATTTTTAAACAAAACTTATTCTCACATTTGATGAATAGGACCATCAAAAGCATTAGTTATGGAATATATACCATTAGGTTCATTGGTAAAATTTTTGGAAACCAAAGGACCAAATGATAATTTAGAAATGACAAAATTTGCCACAGATATTGCATGTGGTCTGGATTTTCTTGCCAGTAAACATATTATCCATAGAGATTTGGCAGCTAGAAATATTCTAGTTGCCAGTGGTAATTCAGTTAAAATTGCCGATTTTGGTCTGGCTCATATTCTTGAAGATGATACTCAATATGAATATCGTAGTGCTCGTGGTCTGCCATACAAATGGTATGTAGTGTTGATTTTTTTCTACTCAATCACAGAATATTAATCCTTTATTCGAACACGAAAAAAAAATCAGGCACGCACCAGAATCATTTGAACGACATTTATTTCGATTTGAATCAGATGTAAGTAGTAAATTTTTCCTGTTTTTTTTCAAATTTTATCATTTACCATCTATTTTTTCCATTAGATTTGGAGCTATGCAATCGTTATTTGGGGTAAGTTTTTTTTCCATATTTTCAGTTTTGATTGGATGAAAATAATTTTCTTGTTTTTTTTTATTATAAATAGAAATGTACAGTTATTGTCGTGTTACACTATATAAAGAGATTGATTCGAATAAAGATGATGTACAAGAATTGCTCACCTATCTTAAACAAGGCAAACGTCTTGAATGTCCAGAAAATTGTCCAGAATCTGTATATAAATTAATGTTAAAATGTTGGGCATATCAACCAGAATGTCGTCCAAATGCATCAGAAGTATATATGATGATCAAAGAAATTGATGAACAAATACGTTCACAATCATTAATTTGAATTTGAATTTGAATTTTTTTGTTTTGTTTTGTTTTGTTTTTGTTCGTCCATTTCGTATACGATGTGTTCGATTTATGTGTGTATACCGGGTTTGTGACGACCAAAAAAAAAAAAAAAAAAAATATTGCTGCATACATATATATATTGAAAAAAAGTTCAAAATGATTATAATTGATGCAATTTATTCTCCATTCATTCATTTATTTATTTGTTGTTTGATGATGATGATGATGATTACACTGACATTTTATTCTGAAAAACAAAACAAAACAAAACAACCAGTTCCAGTTGCAATCGATCAATTCCAATTTTCATTTATAATTATACATAATACATACAAAATGTGCATTAAACATTTGAAAAACATACACACACACACACACTACTATGCAATTCTTCCTTTTCAAAAAAAAAAAATTTTTTTTGTTCACATTTACATTCACATTTTAAGTTCAAAGATTTTTTTTTCTTTTTGTTTATTATTGAAATTGATTGATTTTTGTGTTTAAGTGTGTGTGGGTGGATGGTGTGTGTGTGTGTGTGCGATTAGTTTTTTTAGACTCAAAGACAAAATTTTTTTCCTTCCATTTGTTTTGGTTTATTCTGATTTTTTTTAAAAAAAAAAACGAAATGAACAAAATTCCAATTCTCATTACACTGAAAATAACATTTGAACATGATGATTGTATATTTCTAGTCTTTGCTGCTAAAATTTTATTATGATGACGATGATGATGATGATGATGATGGAAAACATATATTGACGAGACCATTTTTTTCAATTTTCATTTTCATTTTTTTACAAATTACTCTGTTTTTTTTTCTTTTTGTAATTTTTTTTTGTCATTATTCGCTTGCCTTTTTTTTCATAATTCTATTTTTTTTTTTTTGTGGTCAACATGATGATGATGATGATGATGAAAAACGCCTTCATTCACATGTTTTACATGCATAACTTACACACACACACACACACACACATACGGATTTATTTGCTCATAAAGAAAAAAAAATTAATGAAGATAAGATTTAAACGACGACGACGACGACGCAAGAAATGGCCATTTGTTGTTCATTTGTGGTCTATTATTTTCGATTCTTTTAATTCGTTTTTTTTCTCTTTTTTTTGTGTTTAGTTTTGATTCATGTGAAATATAACTAAAAATAAAATGCTATCTAAAAATTTGTTTTGTGTTTCTCTGGATATATTATATGTCTAAATTCTTGAATATCAAATTTTGGTCTATTTGATTGATTGATTCAAACTTTTGGTTTTTTTTTTGTTTTGTTTTGTATGGTACAACCATAACAAGCTAGCAGACACATACACACACACACACACACAAATCAAGACAGTTGCACTTGAATGTTTGACCAATTTGAAATTTGTGTGTATGTTTTTTTTTCTGTTTTGTTTTGTTTTTCCAGTTTTTTCGTTGTTTGTTTGTTTGTCTTCAATTTACATACATACACTTGTCACATGATATATTCTTTGACATTTGTAATCAATCAATGTGTGTGTGTGTGTGTGTATTGAATCGATTCTCTGTATATAGGTTCTACCAAATCAAAAAAAAAAAACATTGACATTGACATCTGGATCTATAGCCAGAAAAAAAAATTAGACAACCAAACCAAACTTTCGATCCATTTTTTATCATTATCACATTGCTGCTGCTACTACTACTACTACTACTGCTACAGTTATGACGATTATTTTATTATCATGATTGGATAACGACGACAACAACAACAACAACAACAACAACAACAACAAAAACAAAAACAACCGTATGACAGAATTGATCTTGGCCTAAATAATTCTGATGATGATGATAATGACCATGAATATTTTTTTTTTTTTTTTTTTGGTTTTTTTTAATGGATTATTATATTTCAAGATATTATCATATTGGATGATGATTATGAATTTGAAATGGGGAATTTTTTTTTTTGTTATCGTTTTACGAATGGATTATTATATGATAATAATTGCCAACGATATCTGTTAATTTTAATAATGAGAAATGAGAATCTCTTGAGATTTTTTTTTTTTTTGGCAATTTGGTCGTCGTCTTTTTTTTTCGTTGACCACTGGCTGACCCAAACCACCAGCACCACCCGATTCAATTATTCACAATATTCAAAATGACACACACAAAAAAAAAAAAGATATAAATTGAGATCATCATGAATACATTCATATGTGCAGAGAAGAAGAAGAAGAAGAAGAACCTTGTCTCTTGTGTGTGTGTGTGTGTGTTTGTGTTATATGGATCATGATCATTACAAGAGAATACTACTAGTTAGTTAGTATGGGAATAATTGAATCATAGTTGGAATATTCCTCATCATTATCGTCATCATTTGAATGAATTATGAACAGGTTTTTTTCTATAATTTCAGGTTATTCTGTGAAAATATAGCAAGCGCACACACACACACACACGTTTAGACTTAATCGATAATTTTATTCAAAAAAATAATAATCTTATTGGCTAAAAAAAAATGAAAACGTAGATATAGATAGTACATGTGTACAGGTATACAAACAAAAAAAAAGTGGGAAAAAATCACTGAATTCAAATGAAAAGTAGTAGCAAATAATCAATAAGAAATAGAACCTTTACCTAGAATCAAAAAAAAAACGAATTAATTTTCTGGTTGTTGTTGTTGTTGTTGCTTTTTAATTCTTTGTCGGTTCTATAGAAAGGATCAACCATATTCTATATTAAGTGGATTATTTGTATCATCCACATATAGACATGGTTACCACAACGACATTGACAATAACAACAACAACAACAAACGGCGACAGCGACAACGACAACGGGATACATGTACCAAAATTTTTTTTCTAACCGTGAAAAATAAATTCATTCATTGTAGTTGATCACCACCATTTCATTATTAGCCATTAGAAATGAATGAAACAAAACACACACACACACCCAATGTTAGTTTGTTTTTTTTTTTTTTTGGTTGTTGTCTGTGTTTGTAAATCGAATCGAATCGAATCAAATTGTGAAATGAAATGAGAATATTCATCTAGCTTTGTGTGTATTGAAATGACACATAACAACAAGATAAAAAAAAATGGCCAATTTTTGACAACAATTTATCGGACATTGCAAAACCATCAACCGTCATCATCTTAGTTCTTTTTGGATCGATTTTTTTTTGTGCATTTGTAAAATCAATATTACTATTTCGGTGTAAATCATTCTGCTGGTGTGTGTGTGTGTGTGTGTGTAGGTGTGAACGATAAATTTATGTTTGTTTTGATTTCATTCAAGTTTTTTGGCCACACAGACAAGACAAACAAAGACAACGACAAACAACGACAACGACAACGACAACCATGTTTATGATGATGAATAATAATTCTGCAAAATTATCAAATTATCATTATTGTTTATTGAAATTAGAGAATCGTCAAAAACGTTTCCATTATAGAAGAATATGGCGTATTTGTATATGGTCATTATCGGCAATATTTTTATTCACAATGTTTATACATTCATTATTATTGACCATAGATAGATGATGATGATCATGATCATTCTTCACCATCTTCATCTATTCATTCATCATTATGTAATTTAAATAAAAATCATCATCATCATCATTATCATCGAAAATCATTGCCAATGGCCAATATCAATGATACTGATCGATTGTCTTTCAATTTTTTTATCATACGAAAATTGCTTACATCATCATCATCATCACCAATAGATGATGATAATGATGGATCATCAATGATTAAAGATCCAAAATTTCCACCAGATCTTTTTACTGAAAAACAACGTAGAAATGGTGCCATTATATTTCATATAATTGGAATGATTTATATGTTTGTTGCATTAGCAATCGTATGTGATGAATTTTTCATACCATCATTGGATGTGATTACTGAAAAATTGGCTATTAGTGAAGATGTTGCCGGCGCTACATTTATGGTAAGTTTTTTGAAAATTCTCATCATCATCATCATCATAAACATTTAAAATTCCGGTTATACTATTCTGTTTGATTCATCATCATCATCATGGATATTTCATAATGTCAACATAGTAAACACACACACATTAAAAGATGATTAAAATTTAAAATTTTAATTTCTACCACTGTCGTCACATGCTGCGTCATTTCTATTTTATTTTTTTTTCAACAAAAAAAAAACATTATGATGATATTCTCTTTCCGGATGAAGAATGACGTGATCGACGGGTGTGTTGACTACCACATATATAGAAATGATGACTTTTATGTTTAATTTTACCAACTATAATGGCTAGACAGAGAGAGAGAGAGAGAGTAATCTATATCAATTTAATAATGTCATTACTTTGTCTTTTTTCTGTATCCGTTTAGCCCTTTTATTCTTTATATATTACACTCAAGAATAAAATGTCATCTGTGGTGTTTTTCATTCATACCAAATTCACAAAAAAAAGCGAATAAGTTCAAGTTGAACACCAGTTTTCCAGTTAGTTTTTAGTTGTTTTTTTTGGTTGTTATTATTTATTATAAGATCAAATTCTCCCATAGAATCCATTTCAATAACACACACAGTTCCTATTATAGTCATTATGGAGCAATTACTATAAAGATATTTTAATCCTTGTGGCTATTTGGATGGTAGAAATAAAAAAAACCAAACGAAATGGAAACGATTTCAAATGAATGAAATGTGTATATGATTAATAATCCACATTGGATTCCCGAATGACTATCCACATTTGATGATGATGATGATAATATCCATAACCATCATAATCATTATCGTATTTATCGCTCTCTCTCTCTCTCTTTGTATGTTTTAAAAGTTTTTTTTTCAAGAATTTTTTGCAAAATTCTTTGAATTCTTTATTCCAAGAATACTTGGAATTAGGAAGGAAGATGATGATGATGATGATGATGATCGAGTTTCATTTTACTTGAAATCTTGAAATGAATTTTTTTTTTCTTGATACACTGAGATAAAAATATCAAAACTTGAAATTTGATTAATCTGATTAACTTGATACTAAATTTTTTTTTCTCTTTTCTCTTTTTTTTTTTTTTTTTTTTTCTTCTAAAGGCAGCCGGTGGATCTGCTCCAGGTATGTGTGTGTGTGGGTGTGGGTGTTTTTGTTGAACTGGAAATTTTTTTTTCATCAGAATTTCACCGTTTCACTGATTGTGGATAATATTCTTAGTTTTTTTTAAGTTACCCGCACCGTAGAGATGAGCATATAATTTAATAACCGGATAGACCGACACACACTCACACACACAGACCTAATAATTGATAAATTAAATTAGACGCAGGAATAAAATTCTTTTTGCTTTTAGTTTTTCAGAATTCAGGCCAAGTAAAAAACAAAAAAAAATAAAGAAAGATTCACAGAATAATATTCAGTGTATGTGTATAGTGTATTTAGTTTGATTCAATTCATTAAATTCTTCGTTATTCATTCATTTGAAGGTCATCATCAGATAATTATATTATGATTTTTTTTTCCATTTCATTCATTTGAATCAAATGATGAAGAAATCTTGTTGTTCGTTTTTTTTTCCTTTTTTCATTGACTTTTACTAGCAAAAATTAAATTATTTGTACACCATTTATTGATGATGAGTGTGGTGTACGAGTGATTCAAGAGAATTTTTTTTTTTTTCTATATATGGCAATTCATTCCCAACCGCCTACATTTTCTTTTTTTTTTTTTGGCCATGTTCTTGTTTCCGGTCTGCATTCGACAGGAAAACGTTAAATCAGAATGAAATAAATCAGAAAAAAAAAAAAAAAAAGAATCAGAATCAAAATACCACAATAGATATATAGTGAAAAAAAAACAAAATCGGAAAAAGAATGGAAAAGACGAATAAGATTAATGAGAATCAAGGTCATTTTGTTGATGATTGGATAAATCGATTTTCAACGAAAATGAACCAAAACGAAGAAGATAGCAAAAAAAAAAAAACTAGTACGTCTGGTGATTGCAAACAATTACATCATCACCATTATTTCAATAACTTTAATATAATTAGTAAATCTTGATGATGACGATTAGTTTGATATGAAATAATAGATACAGAAAAAAAAGATCTAATTTCGGTTTGCGTGTATCTAAATGTCTCCATTGCCATATTGTTAATTGTGGTTTGTGCGCTGTGAATTAAAGTGCAATTACAGTTAATTTTTTTTTCTCTTTTTCATGTCCATTTGCAATATTCTGGATTTTTTTTTTGTTAATGGGTGTGTGTGTGTATGGAATATTTTTTTTTTTTTGAATCATAAATTGAAATCAAATTGTGGACAAAAACGAAAAAAAAAATTTTTTTTTCCCCATTAAAGTCAATCAATCATTTTCTATTGATTTTTTCTTTTTTTCATTTTTTTGGCTGGAATTTTAATTAAAAATTTTTTTTTTCATTCCATCAATTACACACCCAATTTGGGTGGCGGGGCGGATGGAACAACAACGACAATAACAAAATTTAGAACTATTCACATCGATCATTGGTGTATTCATTAGTTTTGATGATGTTGGAATCGGCACCATTGTCGGTTCGGCCGTATTCAACATATTGTTTGTATTATCAATGTGTGCTATATTTTCAAAAAATGTACTCGATCTAACATGGTGGCCATTATTTCGTGATGTATCATTCTATTCATTGATATTGATCACATTGGTTATATTTTTCATTGATTCAACAATATTCTGGTTCGTACAGTATATGATGATGATGATGATTATTATTGACATTTTCTAGTTTCAATTCAATTCAATTCATTTTTTTTTCTCATTTTTCAATTCTTCAATTCGATTTTTGTCATTGTCATAAATTGTTGTCGTCGATCCATTCATTCATCCGAAATTCCAATGCCTTTGTATCGTTTCTATGTTTCTAAATTTAATTTTCGGTTATCTCCATCATCATTATTCTGTTTGCTATACGATGACGACACACACACACACACACAGGTATGAAGCATTGATTCTATTAACCTGGTATGCAGCCTATGTTATATTTATGAAATTTAATGAATCAATTGAACAATTTGTAAAACGAATAATAAATGGTGCCAAAGTCAATAATAATGGCAATGATGATGTAATGAATATACCGTCAAACTATCAGGTAATAATTGCTACTACTATGGATGAAATCAGAAAATTTTTGTTTTTTTTTTTTGGTTCAACCAACAGTTTAAACGTAAATCATCTACACCAATGTTACATGGTGGTACAAAATTTCGTCAAGGTCTATTACAATTAATGATACATTCAATTGATCCATTATATGAAGAACCATTACAGATGGCACAAACAAATATTATAGATGGCAATATTATGTCGTCGACAACAACAACAACTATTGCCTCTAAATCACATATACATCCACCTGGTGCTGCATATTGTCCAATTTGTGGTGAAGATAAACATCAAATTAAATTAGATTCGAATGGTATATTTCATACACATGATCATCATCAATATCAACAACAACAACAACAACAACAACAACAACAACAACAAAATAATGGAAATAGTAATTATCATCATTATGATGATGATGATGATCAAAATCATAAAGATGGTATTATCATTATCGATAATCATCATCATCATCATCAATAATAATAATAATAACGCACATAATAATAATAATCAAACGGTGAATGGTAATCATTTATCTCATCAGGATACGGTAAGCACTTTGGGGTAATAATCGTTTTTCGATTTTTTCGATTTTGTTTTTGTTTTTCGTTTCTGTGCGTTTATTTTTCTACTATTTTTTTTTGTTGGTGTTGTCGCCCCCTGTTGTTGCAAAGAATTTTTTGTTTTGTTTTGTTTTCTTCTAATCGATTGTGATTGTCAATTTTTTTTTTTTCTATCGATGAAATACTAATACACTGGATTATGCATTGTTTTTTCATTTTCTTTTTTGTTTTTCGTTTGTTTCGGCATGGGGGTGGCGATGGAAATAAATAAATTGAATATTTTCAATCAACAACAACAACAATATAGATTACAGGGACAGAAAATAATGATGTACCATTAGATGTTTCATGGCCAGAAACATTACGTGAACGATTGACATATTGTCTATTGGCACCGATAATCATTCCATTATGGTTAACATTACCAGATGTTCGACGTGCTGTAAGTTTGTAGTTTTTAAAACTTGAAAAAAAATTTTTTTCAACATTTCTCTTTCGTATATGAACAAAGGACAAACGTAAATGGTTTACAATCACATTCATTGGTTCAATAATGTGGATTGGTCTTTATTCATATTTTATGGTTTGGTGGGCAACATTGGTTGGTGATACATTTCGTATACCATCCGAAATAATGGGATTAACATTTTTGGCTGCCGGTACATCGATACCAGATCTAATTACATCGGTATTGGTTGCACGTAAAGGTCTTGGTGATATGGCCGTATCCAGTTCCATTGGTAGCAATATATTTGATGTGGCTGTTGGGTAAACAGTGAATTTGAATTCAAATTTTTCATTTTTCATTCATTTTTTTTTTATTTTAAATTTTAGATTACCATTTCCATGGCTAATTTATACCATACTATTCGGTCAGGTGAATGTCAATTCATCTGGAATGATTTGTTCAGTGATATTATTATTTTTAATGTTATTATTCGTTATAATCACCATTGCTGCATTCAAATGGCGTCTGAACATTAGTATGGCAGCCGTTATGTTTGCATTGTATTTTTTCTTTATTGCCTGTTCATTGATGCTAGAAAATGATGTAATCAAATGTTCTTCCATTATTAATATTTTTGCATTTTGAATCATCAATAATCAAAAAAAATCATCATTCCGTATTCAAATTCGTCAATTTTATCATCCAACAAGAATATTCTTCTTTTATCTTGGCAATAATAAACTTTATAGAAATTTCTCATTCATTCAACATGTAGAATTTTTAAAACAACAACAAAAACGAAAAACAAAACAGAAAAATTCCAATTTTATTCTGTCATTATTTTATTATTTCGCGAAGAAGAAAAAAAAATAAAATTATCATTCAATCATTATCTTATGGCTGTTGATTTATTTGGGCTGTCTGTGTCTGTGTGTGTGTATGAATTCTTTAAAAAAAAATTTTTTTTTTTTCAATGAGCAACGGTTTTTTATTCTTGCCTGTATTATATAAACAAAATAAGAAGAAAACATGAAAAGAATTTTTATTTATTTATGTTGTTGTTGTTGAAAGATTTGGGTATTCTGTGAATCTAAAAAAAGAAAAACTTTTAAACACACACAGACACAAACACACACAGAGAAATCATCATCATATATTCAAATTCCGGTAAACAAAACACAACAAAAAAAAAATACAACAGAAAGAAACAAATGACAGAATTGAAGGTGTGTGGGTGGATGGTGTGTGTGTGTGTGTTTCAAGAGCGTAATAAATTCTTCAAAATATTATATGGCTGTCATTGTATACATTGATTTAAAAATTTTTTTTTTTTTTTGTTCCGCTCAAATGTTGATGTCAACATTAATTTTTTTTCCATTGGCATTCTTTTCTTTCTTTCTTTTGATTCATCTTCTTCGAACATTCCATTCCATTTCGTTTGGGTTCTGGTATTTTGTCTGTTGTCGTGTTGTTCGTGTGTGTGTGTGTGTCGGTGTGTGTATGTCTACGTTTTTTCAATATATCGAGTTTATTAAACCAAAACAATGACGATGGCTGGTTGGTTGGTTGGTTGGTTGATGATGATGAAATTATTTACAACCCACAAGCAAATGAAATTGATAAAGTTAGATGATGATGATGATGATGATGATCTTTGGTTGACTAAAGTTGGTCAAAAAAAATGACATAACTTTGAACGCTGAATATTAATAATAATAACATATATGTTGTTCTTCACATTGATTAAAATGTATGGATAAATTTTTTAAATTTACTGAAAACAAGATGAATACGCATGTGATGTGTATATGTGTATGTGTGTGTGTGTGTGTGTATGTAATTATAAGTCATTCGAACCAGAAAACAAGAAAAAAAAGATATCAACAACAACAACAACAACAAAGTTTACATATATATAACATTGACAGGACATTGATTGAATATAACAAGTGAATGAATAGAAATTTTTCTCGTTTTGTTTTTTTTGTTTTGTTTTCAGTATCGGGACAAAACAAAATTTTTTTTTTCTGGTTGTGATTTGGTATATATTACATAGATATTGAAAACTTGTTCGTTGAATTTTCATTGACATGGATTTAATTCAATGAAAAAGACCAAGACATTGATGATGATGATGATGATAATAGATACATGAAGGCAATTGAAATGAATGATATTGAAATGATCAATGAAAAAGATGATTGATGATGATGATGACCACATCCATTGCTACCATATTCACGGCTATTTACATAAGAATTGGAAAAAAATTTCAGAATTAATTATAAATTGGAAATTGGATTTAACCAAAAAAAAAAAAGAAAGCAGAATAAATTCCGATAATAAAAAAATAAATCCAAAGAATTTCTTCATTACCTGGCACTACGTTTACCATGCTGTATACTAGCAGCAGGATTAGCATTATTCTGTATATGTACAGCAATATGTGCCGGTTCAGCATTTGATGGTGTACAGCTATAATTTCCCGAATCATTAGCTTGAGCTTTCAATATAATCAATTTTGAAATGGTTTGTGCAGATTTTTCCGTATGTACTTTAATACCACGCGGTGATCCATAGTTAATCACCTTGAAATAATGGAGAAAAAAAAAGAGAGAAAAAAAAAAATGAAGAAACGAAAACGAAAAAAAAAAAAAAAAACGGTAATGATATTTTAATGATCCAAATGTTTTGAATTATATGTGTGTGTGTGTGTGTGGCAGTATTTATATAATGATAAATAAAATATGTGAAACACACACACACAGAGAGAGAGAGAGTATACAAAATAAAAATGGGAGAGATAGGAAGAAAGGAAGAAAAAACAGAAATAAATAAATTTCATGATTGCGTGCATTTTCCCTTGTTGCCTATTTGTAGATATAGATAGATAGATAGATAGATGTTTAGTTTTTTTCCCGTGGAACGGTATTTATTATTATTATTATGAATGAATCAATATTATATATTCATCATCAATGTTCGATCAAGTATGCATGATTGTTATTAATCGAACACCCATACATACACACACACACAAAGAATATCAACGTTATATATACAATACATAATGATAATAATATTGATTGAAAATCCATAAATATAAAGAATGGAAAGAGAAGAAAAAACGATCGAAACAAAACAACAACAACAAAAAACAACGACAACGACAACGACAACAACAACCAAATTGATAATAAACAGAAACAAACATAAAAAAACGATCAATTAATCAATATTGACTTACTTGGCCATTATAATACCAGAAAATATAATCCGGTGGTTCGGGCGTATCTTTTACCATACAAGTTAGATTCAATGTTGAACCACTGCTCAGGTATAAGGTTGGACCTTCAACAATTTTTGCTCGACTTACTGTTGTTGATGATGATGATGATCATCATCAATAATCATAGAAAATCGGATCAGGAAAAAAAATGATGATGACAAAAAAATAGAGATAAAAAGCCATGAAAAATTGAAAATGAAAGAAAAAAAGAAAAAGTTTCATTATTATTTCTGGTTCGATCCGGAATCGATGACGAAAATGTAAAGAACAAAAAACCAACAAAAAAAACAAGGCAAAGCCACTTACCGACAACATTAAGTTGAATGAATAGACTCATTTTTGGCATTGTAGAAATCTGTATTATGATCAAAAATAGAAAGGAGAAACAAAAAAAAAATCCGTACGGAAATGGGATTATTGATATGTACACAAACACCAACACCAACACGCACACCCACACACCAACACACACACACATCATCATCATCATCATTATTCAATCAACGGATACCGGATAAAGTAGTGATTCATTATTCCGTATATATATATAATGTGAATAATCAGAATTTTTTATATATATAAATAAATAAAATATTATATAAATATACCTGACATTCATAGATGCCAGCATCTTTTTTTCTTGGATAACTTATCTGCAAAGACCAATCATCTGAATTTTCACGATGTATGGCCTGAAATCTTTGATCAGATGTATAGGTAAATGTTCCAACTGGTAATATTCCCATGCAACAAAAAAAAAGAAATTTATAAATGAAAATTCAATAAAGTTTTTTTTTTGATAAATGGATTGTAATATTTACCAGTCAATATTTTATAAATGAAAAAGCATCTTTTTTTTTTTTTGATAAATGGATTGTAATATTTACCAGTCAATATTTGAAAATCTTGACGTCGAATCCAAGATAACTAGAAAAAAAAAATTTAAAACAGAAAACAAACAAACAAAATGAAAAAGTTTGAAGAAGAATAAAGAAAAAAACATTCACATTTACATAATTGTAATCAATCGATTACGAAAAAAAAACTTACAGTACGATCGCCTAATTGTTTAACACGACATGGTAAATGTACAAATGATGAACCTTCAGATATTGTTACATTTGTTGATATTGATTCTGTATCAAAATATGGTGATATACGTTTCTGTGCCGATGATGTTGATGATTGTAATGACGATGATGATGATAATAATGTTGTCGATGATGAAAGTGCAACCGATGAACCACCGGCTGATGTACCGCCAAAAAATTGTAGACCACGTTCACGTTCTTCAGATGATGACATAAATTCTTCTGAATATGAACGTACAAAACGTATTGTTGCCAATTTATTATCAGTTATAATTGGATGATTAATATTATCGTCATTTATTCTATGATTATCGGATAATGATGATGATGATGATGGTGAACAATTACCTAGAAAATTAACAAAAGACCAAACAAAATAAGAATTATTATCATTCAAATAAAAGAAAAGAGAGAAAAAAAAATAGATTCTTGTTCCCATGTGAATGTGTGTCTGTGTCTGTAAATGCAGAATTAAATTTATTGATTTCAACTTGACATTTTGATAATGTATTCTCTCTGATGACAAGAATTTTTTTTTTGCCCTATTTCAACCCACTGTCTGGATCCAAAAAAAAAGAAAAACAACAAACAAAAACAACCAACCAAAAGCAAACAAATGGGGGAAAAAAATCAATGTCAAAAATCTTTGGTTGAAAAATTGATTTTTATTTTTCAACAAAAAAAAATGAGACGCCACACACAAAAAAAATGAATCTAAAACCAATCAGATACAGTTGTAGACAATTGAGAAATGGACGCACACACACAGACGCAAACAAACACACAGAATCAAAAACTGTGTCCATTGTATTCGTGGCCATCTCCTATAAATAAATAATCCATCACACGGGCCACCATCACCAACAAAACCTTTTATTTTTTCCTTTCTTTTTCATCCCATTATTATTTAATCTAAACAAATGAAATGGGGTATATCTATTTTTTTTGTTGCTTCATTCATTTCGATTCAATTCTATTTGATTGGTAACGAAAATGAAATTCAATTCATATATGAATGAATAAATGAATGAATCGATGAGAAGTAAAAAAAAAAGAATTTCATGATTCACAATTCAATTTGAACGAAAAAAATGAAATAGGAACAAAACAAAAAAAAGTTAGAAAGAGAAAAAAAAAACGGACTGAAACCTTTTTTGATAATAATAATAACCATTTCATGAATATAATATGATATTGGACAGACACACAGAGTCTACATCCATATGGTGTGTGTGTGTGTGTGTGTTATTAAATCGACAATAAATTAAATTATATATATATTGGCATCGGTACCATCATCATCATCATCAATTGTTCCAAAAGAGCCACTAGCTAGGGCCTTTTTGAATAGTTACGAAACAATATTTAATGTCAATGGTGTAATGAAATAGACGAAAAAAAATCGAGAATGAAAAAAAAAATATAAAGTTCAGATTCGGTTCGTTTTTTTAACCAGATTTTTTTTTTTTTCTTTTTTAATACTAGGGTCCACTATAGTAGTACTATAGTAGTAGTAGTAGTAGTAGACTATCGTTATTTGGCCATTTGATCACGCAATAGTTGTTGTTGCCTACTTGTTTTTTTCCCTTTTAACGAATATATAAAATGAAACGATAAAAAAAAGAGAAAATTGAAAGTGGATTCTATTTTGGACATGAGAGTATTATAAAGATAACCAACACACACACACACACACAGAAACAACAACAACAACAACAACAACAAAAAAAATAACAAGGATCCATGAATTTGGATCATTCTCTGTCACACCCGTTATTATAAATTTATTGTTCATTTCACTATGTATTTTTTTTTTATTCTTATTGCCCACGCTTTGAACAATTTATCAGAAGGTTATTTGACCATTCATCCAATTCATTCACAATCAAATCAGAACAGCCATACTTTTTTTAAAAAAATGGTGTTCAAATCGATTATCGAATTCATTATTACGAGGAACGAAAAATTATCATGGAACAAAACAAAACAAAACAAAAAAAAATCCATGTCGATTATTTATCCGTTCATTCGCTGATCAATGTTTTTTTTTCCTGTGATTTTTTTTTTTTTTTGACAATAACCAAGTGAACGTAGGTTAAGTCCAAAATGAATCCAGGAACAACAAAAGAAGCACAGGATAGAAATCCCAAAAAACACACAGCACCAGTACCAGTACCAGCAAAAATAGAATCAGCCAATTGATTTTCAAAGAAGCCAACGAACCTGAACGACAGATTTTTCTGATAGGCATACATAGACACACACACACACACATACAGAATATTATAATAAATGACTTTTGGAACAAAAAACAACAACAACAACAACCACCATCACCATCATCAACAACAAAATGAAATGGAAAAAAAATGAAAATTCCTCATATCATCATCATCATCATCTCAGTCATTTTTTTTTCTCTCTCTGTTGGTTCGTAATATATGGCCTTAACTCAAATCAATTGGTTATTTTCAATCATGATGATGATGATGATGATTAAAATATACTCAATATGGATCATCATCATCATCATCATCATTATGAAATCGAATACGAATTAATTTCAAAAAGTAGAAAAAAAAACCTCGAATAATCGTTTCTACATCATCATCATCATCATCATCAATATGAAGCGTTTTAATAAAAATGAAGATTTTGTGTGTGTGTGTGTGTGTGTGTCAAACCAATAATCTCAAATAAATGAGTGTTGCAAATTAACTGAAAAATGAACCGAAAAAACGCAAAAAAAATCGTTGACCAAACAGCAATTCAAATCGGTACAAAAAAACCAGCCAGGCTGTGAAGCAGGCAAGAATTTTCTTTCGTTTTTTTTCTGTCAGATGAAAATTTTTTGGAAAATAAAGAATAGCGTATACCGAGAGAGAGAGAGAGAAAAAAAAATTCTCACAGAATTCATCATAATAAAATAATAATAATCGAAGAATATAAATAAATACCGTCATTGTCGAATACTAAATTCCATGTATTCTTCTCATGTGTGTGTGACTCAAAAGTTTATTACTTCCTGCAACAACAACAACAACAACAACAACAAAAAGCTGAAAATAAAAAATTCAATAAAAAAAAAAATTCGATAAATGAATAATGAATGGCAAGTGAATGGAAAAATTTCAATAATAATGAGGGAAAAATGGTGAAAATTAAAATAAAAAGAAAAAAAAACGAAAAGAATTCATCGAAATCCAACAACAACAACAAAGAATTGAGAGAATAAAAAAAATTATGGGAAAAAAGATAATTGAAATTTTTTTTCTTCTTCTTCTTCTTCTTTTTTTTTTTAGTTGTTCATCAAATGATGAAATTGAGTGAAAGAGAAAAAAAAAAAGAAATTAAACCTACACATGTGGTGTGTGTGTGTGTGTGTGTGTGTGAATGCAGCTAGAACAATAATTTGTTCAATTATCGAAATAATTTATTGCACAACACACCAAACCACCACCACCACCAACAACAACAACAACAACAACATCGATTAATCCATAATTCTATATTGTTGTTGTTGTTGCTGTTTTTTTCATTCAAATTTGCCACCACCACCACCACCAACCACCATTATCATTATGATGTGATTTAGTTGAAATAATATGTTCATTCAAATGAAAAAAATGATGATGATGATGATTATGATGATAATTTGAATTCAAAAAAAAAAAAAAAAAAAAAAAAAGTTAAAGGGGTGGATTTTATTTTTCCAATTTATTCATTCATAATGAACACATATGATGGTTGTGTTTTTATTACTATTGAGCACCATCATCATCATCATCATCATTTTATTCAGATTTTCATTCTTATATAATGATTATTACATTCACACACACACACATACAGAATGAACATAAATTGGCGGAAAAGAATTAAAATCATTATTATAAAATAAATGGAAATGGAACATTTACATAATGACAACAACAACAAACTACAAACTACAACCACCACCACCATCACTGCTACCACTGCTAATATTTAGCCACAAGAGAACAAAAAAATATGGAAATTTGAAAATGAAAAAAAAGAAAAAAATTTTTTTTTGCAAACCAGAAAAACAACAAAATTTTTAATTATTATCACCACCATCATCATCATGATAATCACATAGCTGTCATCAAATGAAAATTCTATTATAATGATAAACATTTTCATTCATAGTTTTGTTTTGTTTTCCGGCTTTTTTTTTGTTTTTGGATCGTTGATGTCATTAATGAATGTTTGTTGCTCAGTTTTTTTTTTTCAACATTGCACCCCATTCAAACGCATATACACACACACACACACGCCTTTCTTTCATCATCCTCCTACTTTATTCATTTATATGAACAATAGGAATTTGGTGAAAAATTTTTTCATTTTCATTTCCATATTTGGCACACTAAAGCTAGTCCCTTGATGATGATGATGATGATGATGATGATCATCATCATCATTGTTTATGTCTGTCTGTCTGTTGTCATTGTGTCATAAACAATAATAATAATTCTAAAGGTCGAAACAAATGCACATATGGTGGCCGGAATTGTGAAAAGAAAAATGAATTCTACAACAAAAGCGTCAAGCAACAACAACAACAACAAAAATGAAAAAAAAAATAAAATTCAAAACCGATTATATAAGCCAGAATTTTTTTTGTTTGTTGTTGTTGTTTCATTATCATTACCATCATCATCTAATATAATTGACAAAGCATATAAAAAAAAGACCATTTTTATTCATGTTAAATGAATAATAAAAATCATGCACACAAACACACGAATAACAAATGTGATTAAAACTTGTCATTTTTGGGGGATAGATAGTTAGAAAAAAAAATCACCAGAAACAACCAGAAAACTGAATATATAAAATAAAAGTGATGAAAATTCACCACATATATATGTGTGTATATATTTGACATAAAAATATGGTCCAAAATGGAACAAAATGATTACATAATTTGTATGAATTTTTTCTGGTTTTATTTTTGGTTGTTGTTATACACAATAATAACAACACAAATAACCGACGCTACCGATGATGATGATGATGATAAATGAATTTTTCATTCATTCATCCATTATTTGTTACATAATTTTTCTTTTTTGTAATTTTTTTTTCACTCTTTTTTTTAATAAATAGAAATTCTGATTTTCTGGTATTTTTCTAGCGTGATCATCATCATCATGAGGATAATCGTTGGTTTTTTCTTCTCATTGCATTCACTAACACCCACACGGACACACACACACAGACACAGACACAGACACAGACACCAAATTTCATACAAATGCAACAAAAAAAACCAGAAAAGAAAACATTCTATTCAAAAAGAATACAGGAATGGAGAAAAAATC